GTACAGACCAAAGTCCTCCCGCTGGCACAAGGCCCTGAGCAATCTGGCCACCTCTTTCTCTGCCCTCTCCCTCTCCCTCATTCCCCTCCAGCCACATTGGCTGCCTTCTGTCCCTCTGATGTGCCAGGAAAATTCCTGTCTCCTTGCACTTGCTATTTTCCCACCTGGACAGTCTTCCTTCAGATCTCCTGAGTCCTCCCACCCCGCCCCAGAGTGCCCCATCTAAATCAGCACCCCTGCCCTTCTCCAGCTCTTTTAATCTTCTTATCATACACATATTGCTATTAAACATGATATGTTTACTCCTTTCTCTCTTCTCCCTCTTTCTCCTCCTCTCTTCTCTCTTTTTTCCTTTCTCTTCCTTTCTTACTTATTGCCCTCGCCTGGATAGAAGCACAATTTCTGTTCTGCTTGCCACTCCCTTATCCCCACAGCTGGGCGTAGCAGCCAGGATGCAGTGGCTACTCAGTAGATCTCTGCTGGATTAATGTACAAATTGAACAAACAGATACATAGTTTTCTAAGGAGTTCACCTTAGCTTTCTCTCTGACTTGGACCACATTTCCAGATTCCTTCACATTTTGTGACCAAACCCTCCCTTGCTCTATAAGCAGGATTCCTTGGGGGGGCCCAGCTTAGACACTCTGACTGCCCACTGGACCACAGGCTCAAGCCACATACAGTTGCATTTCCAAAGGAGATTTTCCAGTTTTTCCCCACAACTCACGCTCTCAGAAAACTTTCCTATTTTTCTGCCAGACTGAAATGAACGTCTCTCCAATCCACAAATAGTGGGTGAAGCATCCATAGATGCCATCTCTCCTGCCCTATCCTGGTGATGCCAACTCTCTGAACCAAGTGCCTAGTTGCTGAGCCTCATAGCTGCTAGGGATTCCCAGTCAGCATCTTCTAAAACCTCTCTCCTACATCCAACACTGGCTGCACTCCACCTCTCTACCCAGAAGCCAGAGGGAGCTTTTAAAATTATAAATCAAACCTGCCACTTCTTTGCTTTTAGAAACACTGAGCATATACATGCGTATGCACAGATACACACACACACACACACACACACACACACACACAGAGATGTTTGTGTGTGTGCCTGTCATACTTAGAATATATCCAAAGTCCTTCAAGGCCCTTCCAGATCTTGCCCATGCCCTCTCACCTCAACTCTGATCACTCTCCAAATGCAGCTCTATGATCTTTCTGTTCCAAGCTCAGTTCTGCCTCAGGGCCTTTGCACTTGCTAGTCTCTGCCTGGAACTCTCTCCAGCTCTCCTATGCTTTGGGTGTCAGCCTAAATGTCACCTAATCAGAAAGACTCACCCTGACTACTTGGTTTAAAGCAAGAGGTCCCCTGGCCCTTATCTATTATAACTTTACCTTTTATTTCTTTTATAGCATTCACTCTGATCTGAACTCATCTGATTTATCTGTTCACTTGTTTAGTCTCTCCTGAGAACAGGGGCCATGCCTTGATTGTTCTTCATCAACATCCGATTACCCAGTATAGAGCTCATTACAGGATAGTAGCAAGCAATAAATAAATGATAGATACCTTCAGTTTCTCCAACAGGACACTCCCAGATCCCACCTCACACTCTCCTACCTTAGATCCTTTACTCCTGAAGTTATCTCTCCATGGACCCTCTTTTCCTGATCTTTTAGTTAACCCAAGGGACCACATTTTAAAAATATCCTGCAGCATCCTGTTCTTGGCAAACATAATTATCATGCTTTTTAATCATATATTTATATTTTTAATACTTATTTGTGTGGTTGTCATTGATTTCTCACAGAGCAAAGACAGCTTGTCTTATTCTGTGCTGTGGCCCCAGCTACTAGCACAGAGCCAGATCCGTAGTGGCTCTTCCAAGATTTGTTTGTTGAATGACTACATGATAGAATTATGTGTCATGAACCAAATATTAGGATCATTCCAACTCCATACTCCAATGGGTGAATAAACGAAGGGAGGGAGGTCCAAGACTCTGGACCGCCTCAGAATCCCCCCACCATCACCACCAGCAGAGTTCAGCTATTCTCCCAGACCACCCAAGTCTCCATGCCAGATTCCAAGGTGGGGATAGCAGTTACCGTAGTCCTTGGGGAGGGGTGCAGGTGCCGATGGATGCACAACAGGCTTCTGCCGGCGCTCCTGGGTGGGGCTGGGGGCTTCGGGGACGGGCTCATCCTCTTCCTCCTCTTCTTCCTCCTCTCCTCGGGGTGGAGGGGCCATCGGGGCAGGATCTGTCTTAGTCATGGTCCTCGATGGCCCTCAGTGGTGGGCGGGCACAAGAGTCAGGGGCGGCCTGCAGGCAAATCCTGGAGGCAGAGGTCAGCTAGAGAGGGTGCCCCAGAGACCCTGGGTCCAAGCCCCCAGAAACTCCCAAGGCCCCGGGTGGCCCCCGCGCCCCCAGCTCTGGATCTTGGAGAACCATAGGGCCTCGTTACCCATCAGAGAGCCCCGGGATATGCGCCCAGCTCCTGCCTCCTGCACCAGGCCCAGCCCCCCATTCTTCTCCCGCGTCAGGCCCCTCAGTCTCGGCCGCCCCCTCTCGGGGTTTGTTTATCTCGGGATGCAGGATGCTTCGCCCCTCCCCTTCTCACGGGCCTCGCGCTTCCCATCTTACCTCGGGCGGACGGGGTGGAAGACTGAGGCTGAGACTGAGGAGACCGCGGAGTAATGGGGTGTCGGTGTCGGGGGACGTGGTAGGGGAAGAGAGGGAGACAGAGGGGACGAGGCCCAGCAGCCGATGGGGGTGGGGGTGGAGAGGGAGGGGCGCTGGCGGCGCATGCGCGGTGGCAAGGCGCGGGGGAGGAGATGCTGGGAGGCAGCTCGCCTAGATGAAGGCGCTGGAGGCAGCGAGACGCCGAGGGGCTAGACCCCCAGCACCGAAGAGGAACAAGGGACTGCCACCTGGAAGGGTGTGAGGCACCGAGGCAAGAGAGAGATGAAGCAGAGACCTGGGGGCTGGAGGGGAGAGGGGCGGCACGGCGACACGGGTCTATTTATCCATCCGCGCGGTGACAGAGCCCTCTCCCAGGTCTGCGAACCCGGCCAGTTGGGACAGTGGTCTCTGTGCCTAGCTGATGTTGTTCCCTCTCTCGGAGCTCAACGCCATGCTTACCCTCTATGAACGTCTCAGAGGGGTCTTTTACATCTCCATCACCTTTGTCCTTATAGACAGTGCTCATCAGCACTTCCTCAGGCCGAGAGTTCGAGTTGCTTGCCCATCAGTACACAGCAAGTGGGTGTGGAGCTAAAATTTGAAAGCAGGCAGTTCGTGGAGTCTGGTTCTTAATCACCAAGCTACATGACTGTGCAGTGAAGGCCATGTGATGATAGCAGTGTCTAGAAGACAGTTCTGTCAATGGATCTCTTCTGAGAACCTGTATCTCTTGGAGCAAGGCCTCTTGGAGCCAGCCAAGGGGCCTGGCTCAACCTCACTCCTAGTTTGACTATTACCTGCTCTGCCCCAAATCACCCCAGCCTGTGTGACTGCCTTATGCCCCTCATACTGGGCAGGCCCAGTATCTCTATCTGCAAAATACTTCCAGAATTTTATCACCCAATTCCAGGCCCCTATCCTGGTCCATCCTTCATCCTCTCCCACCTCAACAATGGCAGCAGCATCTTCTCTGTTCTCACTGCTCTCCCCACCCCACATGACCTTTCTTCCTACCCTGCAGTCACAGGAACCTAACATGTATCACATCAGGGTACTCCTTGACTCAGAAACATCTGGCTGCACCTCATTCCAGGTAAAAGCCAATGCTCCCAGTCATAGCCCATAAGGCCCTAGGTACACTTGCCCACCATGTTTCCAATCTCTCCTCCTCTCACTCTGCCCACTCCACTCCAATCATACTGGCCTCCTTGCTTTTCTGCACACCAGGACCTTTGCATTGGCTGTTCTTCCTGGAAGGCTTCCCCCAGGCCCTTGCGTGGTTCCTTCTCTCCTCTCATTTGGGATATTGTTTGCCTTTTCAGTGACACCTCTGCTCTATCTAAAATTGCACCCTGTCCCAGCCAGCCCCTTCCCCACTTTAGTTTTCTTCAGAGCAACAGTGCCCTCCTCCCTCCAATGCCTAGACATTAGGTCCTCTGCAGATCTGTTCTTGCCCTGGAACACCTGCCCACATATCTTACAGGTTGATTCCTCCCACCCAGGTTTGTGTTCAAATGCGGACTTCTTAGAGAGCCCTCTCCCCCCAACTTCCTCTCAATCATATTTTTTTTACATTTTTTTTGTAGTTGTAGATGGATAGAATGCTTTTATTTATTTTTATGTGGTGCTGAGGATCAAACCCAGTGCCTCACACTTGCTAGGCAAGCGCTCTGCCACTGAGCTATAGCCCCAGCCCCTCAATCATATTTTAATTCAGTTTTCATGGCACATATCAGTCAGAAGTGATCCAGTTTATTGGTACACTAGTTCACCTTCAACTCAAGCAAAATGTGAGCACCATGAGGGCAGGGATGGTTTTTAGCTGTGTCCACTGCCATGTCCCCAATTCAGCAGCAGGCTTGGCACAAGGTGCCAAGGGCTCTTTGGAACCGCTACAGAACTCTCCAAATGACTCCTTTTCTGCTGATGTTGTTTTACTGACTGCAGAGATTTGAGCTGGGGGTGGCAGGGGCCGGGTATCCAGGGGGATAAGGGTTTGGGGCCCAGTCACCTGCAAGATTCAAGGGATCCCTAGAAGTGGGGAGAAGAATCTAGGTACTTGGGGAAAGCACTGCTCCTCCCCAGGCATGGATGATAGGGCTGGGCCAAGCACATGTGTGATGGGCTCTCTTCTTCCATCTTGCATCTTCTGTCCCTTGACATTGTCCGTCCTGACCCTTAGGCACTGGGTGACTGGGTGTCCAGCTCAGGCTTGGCATCCAGTGTGGCAGGTGCAGGGTCTTGGGCAAGGACCACAGCTATGTCAGGCCCTCCACAGATGATGGTGAAGGTTTGGGATTCCTCAGATCCAGGCAGCTGAGCCATTCCAGGCAAAGAAGCAGTAGAGATGGGGAACAAAGGGGAGCAAGGAGGAGGAGATTGAGGAACAGACAGAAATGGTGAGGACCAACGGACATCAGAGAAGAAGGGGGTGTCAGAAAACAGAGTGAAATGTGATGAAAGACAGGGAAGCAGATGTGAAGCCAGAGACATTCATGGGAGAGAAAAGAAGTGTGGGGAAATAGGAGAGAGATGTGGAAGGACAGGGACATGGGGAGATGGATGTGAGTGTGGACAAAGACATTGATATGGAAGGCAAAGAAAGATGCAGATGCAGAGAGACATGGGCAGATAGGGACACAGGATGAATGAGTAGGAAACAGGGATTGAATGGGGACAGGGAAGGCAGAGAGAGTGAGTCAGCCCAGGGCAGGCTCCATGGAGAGCTCCAGTCCTGACCCAGCCCCATTGTCCCTCTGGGTTCCAGGCCATAGCCTCAAAGCCCCCAGGGGCAGTCACACTGCAATTCCAGCTGACTGCTATTACCTGAGAATATGAACCCTGCACTGCAAGATCTACTGAGCCTTCAGGAAAGATTAAAAGTGATTTTAAAGCACTGTTGAGGCCAAACAAATTATACCTAGAGGTCATGTCCAATCCATTAGCTGTCTACCTGAGACACTTCAGCTCCTTTCTGAGCCCCCCTCCTCTTGTCTCCACAGCTCTGCCTGGATGCTTGTCCCATCTAGGTAGGATTCTGAGTGTGTGGGTGATAGGTTAAGGCCCTCAAGCTAAGCCCTAATTTTTAAGCAGGGGACGGACATGGTCAAGCTCTGATTTTTCACCCTTCCCTCAACCAAAACAAAAAAATGTATGGATAAAGAGCTTTAGAGAGAGTGGGGGAGACCATAGTAAAAGGGTTGTGAATTTAAGCTAGACAGGGGCTGAGAAGAGAGCTTTCCAACAGGACAGCAGGGCTTCTTCTGGTGCTTTTGAGTCCTGGCTGCTTGACTTTGGGCAAGTTACTAGACTGTTCTATGCTGCAGCTTTTTCATCTGGCAAATGGGGAACAACAAGAGAACCAAGATGGTAGTGAGTTTTCAATAAGTTATTAAGTATGTGTCTGGCAGGAAGTGAGAACTTACTAAATATTATTCATAAATGGAGCAGCCATTACTCAGCTCCAACCAATAGTTGCCAGATTGAATTTATGTTTCTTTTTTGCTGAGCTGGGGATGGAACCCAGGGCTTCCCGCATGCTAGGCAAGCTCTGTAAACACTGAGCCTCATCCCCAGCCCCAGATTCTTTCCCCCACCGCCTAGAAAAACGAGCAATTTGGAAACCTGAATGAAATATTGGGATTCTTAAACATAAATGTGCAGGCCAGGCAAGACGCCCTGGACGCCAGTCCCAAGCCCCTGCGCCACTCACCACGCGAAGCTGGCCCTGGTGCGCCCGAGCCTGCAGGTTCTCCGTGCGCAGCTGCAGCGCCAGCTGTTCCAGAGCCTGGAGCTGAGCCTGGTGCCGCTGGTGGCGCCGCTGCAGCCTCCGCACCCGCCGCTGCAGTGCTCCCAGCACCGCTCCCAGTCCCGCCCGTGGGTGCTGGGTAGAAACTCCAGTCCTCCGCCCTGCAGGAGCGGAGGGAAGGGGCAGGGGGGTCAGGAGCACGGTGGACGCAGCCTTGGCGCTGTCAGATGCAGGCCCCAGCACCACTACGTGCACTGGGCCAGAGGCCGCAACCGTGGGCTCCCGGGGGAGTCCTGCCTCCTGTGGCGGGGGAGGAGGAGGAGGAGGCGCGACTGGCTTCTGGGTACTTCGGGTCCTCCGCGGGCTCTGGAAGACAAGGCATAGGGTGGGGATGGCCCTTCAGGGCAAGAGGCATTTCGTGGAGAGGTTAGGTCAGTCTCCAAGGGGGACTTCCCTGGGGTAAGATGACTTCAGCCAGGAACTTCCTAAGGAGAGAAGGGCAGAGGGGCAGACCTGGGGAAGGACTTCGCTTTGAAAGGGAAGGCCAGGTACCAGACTCTAGGAATTGCGTCCCAAGTAGAGAAGGCTGGGGATCAGACTCCACTCATTGGACATCCCGCACTCACCTTGGCTGGCGGCACCCGGGAGAAGATGGAGGGCACCGCGTCTGGCCGCAGGTAGCGCACGCCCCAGCGCCACTGGAAGCAGGAAGGTGTGAAGTGCTCACTGCACAAGTGCTGGTGGCAGCTGGGCACCCAGTGCTCCCGGCCCATGCATCGCAACCAAGCCTCTAGCCTGGGGCCGTCCTTCAGCGGGAACCTGCAGAGCCGTGGGATAGCAGGGTCAGCGCTACAGGTCCCCACCCACCCCTCTCTGAGGTACCTACTATACCTGAGATCCCTGGAAGTCTCTGTCTTCCATCCACGCTTTCTCTACCTCACTCGCTTCCCAT